AGCTTTACTGGCTTTAGATTGGTCAAAGGTAATTAAGATGAAAACTTGGTTTATCTTTTTCGCTAATTTTACATTAACATTTTATATTTATATTTATTTATGTGTGTAAATAGCGATATATGTTCGGTAGAGATATTTCAAAGTTTTAAGAGAATAATAATACACTTTCATGTACGACATTTACGCGTCATGTTTTTTAAGTGTCGAGGAGATACTGATAAATTTTTAAAATTAATTTATTTATGTATTATGTCAACTTACGTCAACAAATTTTAAACATTTACGATTACATTAACATTACAAAAAGACAATAAACTTATATATCGTCACCATAAATAATATTAATTACTACAGAGTTGGATTACAAGATTCCTAAAAAGTAAATAATTGTCATTTCCAGTTTTAAGATTACGCGTGTGTATTATCTATTAACATTTAATTATAATATCGAGGTTCATCAAATACGTGATATCGATGACCACGAACCCCTTCTCCTTTAAATTGTTCGGGAAATCTTAATCTCCTGTCAATTTTATTTTCTTTAACCCGTTTCTCACTTGCTTGCCAAGTTTTGGGATTATAATTTTCAACAATTTGGAATTTGCCCAATTGAATTTCCGTATCAGTTATACGTCCATGACTTACTCTGGCATACCCTATCCGTTTGACTCCTCTATAGGCTATGTATTCACACCATCGATCATAATCTGTCTCATCTATATCGAAAACATTACCATCATTTATAAGGATAGAGTAAATTTCATCCGTCGTGGTAGTTACAACGTATCCTAAAAATACAATAGGATTTTCACTTTCTCTCATAATACGCGCCAATTCTTCCGTTTGTAATTTACGATCAAGTTCATCTTCTTCTTGCCCATTATGACTGACAATCACATCAACTTTCTGTCCATAAACATCCAGAGTTGCATGAATCGCGCAAGCAAGTTCTCCTACAGGTGATGGAAGAAGATAATGTCTCGATGCAAGGATAGGGAATTTCGAAAGCATAGCACATCCCCATGTATGTTTTGAGGGACCTGGCCCATAATCTGAATACATGTTGAGATCCTCAGCAAGGAACTGTGTAAAGTCACGATTTCCCATCATGATACGCCCAGTATCTGATTCCAATAAACCTTTATTTTAATTTAAATTAATTATTTCTTAATATGAGTAGTTAATAATAATAATAATAAAAATTTTATATAAAGTAAAAAAAAAACTAACCTATAACATCGAGTTCTAATTCTTTAATAACGTCTCTCATTCTAACCTCACTAGCCCACATATCATTATCAAGTGCAAAATGAATTGTCCAAATACCAGCTGTAAAAATTTTTTGTTCAGGATGATAAGGTGTAGGTGTTTCAAATGGAAGACGAGAAAAGGAAACCAAACATCCTAATAAAATCATTATCGCCAATCCCCCTCTCGTTAACGAACGATTTAAATGTAACGAATTTAATTGTAAATGTTTAAATGTATAATTGGTAGAAGCATTTCTGATACCAAGTCCAATACAAGTCATCATAGCAAATAACACATAATCGGTGTGTTCTCTCATGTATTCACCAGCAGGGACAAAAGCGTAAGCTACAACCCACACATGTGCCAAACAAAAGATATTATATATCATCATCGCTGTAAGAAAAGTTCTTCCGGGAGGATGTTGAACAACGATTCCAATAAATGTAGGCACCAATGACATCAAGTAAACAGTAAGTACAAGTCCACCATAATATCCATTCCATGCGGGATAGTAATACATATATGCACAAGAAACGCACCCAATAACATACCAAGGTTTACTAATAACTATCTTCTTGTAAGGTGAAAGAAATAATCCAAGGGACATTGCAATAATAGTGACGACACCCCAAGGAATAGGATGTGGGCCAGTATTTGGGTATCCATCATAAACCCAACGTATAATTGTAGAGCTGTCAGTGAGTAAAGAATGAAGCGCAAAAAGTAGTGAACCAAATCCAGAAGCTGCCATAAACCAAGATCCAGGAACTGTCGTTATTTGTTCATAATAATTAATTTGCGTTTTCTCTCCATTTTTACGTAACATAACGTCTAATGAGGCAAGGACTCCGAAGAAAAGCCCAATGTGATTCCATCCACCATTTTCCTTATGCATAATTGGCCATATTGGATTATTAGTCCACCAAGCCATTTTTACGACGTTACTTAAAATCAAGCCCAAACACCAAGTGAGAGCATATCGTTCTAGTTGGCCGGCACTATTCCTATTTTCAATCCACATGGAAGTCCAAGTTACAGTTGCGATAGCAACACCTGTCGAAACAACTATAAGGCGTTGAACTGGATCAGTGAATAAATATGCTGCTATACCAACGAGCGATAAAAGGTGAAATACGCCATGATTCAAATTGATTAATTTACGGATAAAACCAATCCCAAGCAATGATGGCGCTATGGTTACAAGCAAGAAAGACTCAAACCCTGATATTCCCATATACCAAAGTGGGAAATACCAAATCGTCAATGCAAGTGACGTCAACATTGACCAATACATAAAAGCTTTTTTTTTTTAAAAAAAAAGGTCAAATTTTGATTAAGAATAAATAGATCAATCACGAACAATATTAACTTAAATATACCAAGATATGTATCAACTAAAAATCCTCTTAGATTACTCCAAAAACTAATTTCAAATATAGGTTCGATTCTCCTAGAAAATTCCCTATGATGAAATAATATTTATTAATATCCATAATTTAAATTTAACCAGTGAAAGTATTAATACATACTTGAACTTTTCGGACTTTTCTGCGGTAACATTTATAACCCTGTATCAAAGTATTTGAAATCAATGAGATGCGATAAAACAAATAATGTAGAATTCATATTCGTACCCTTCCTTTGGATTGATATTAACGATTCTTAATTCGATGGAATTAAAGTCGAATAAGCTTAAAGCATCAAAAGCAATATCGTATAAAATCAAAGACCATTCGAAAAACGCGTATATAGTGTAAGCTAACGATCAAAAATAGTAATTTATAAAATTAATTATATTATCACATAAAATCATCAATTCGCTAACAAAAAGATTTTATTTACCACCAACGACACGATGTACTTTATGTTGAAAATAAAAATAAAACATCGGGACCAGAGTTCCAAAAAATGCAATGGCGGTTAACTTTCTCCATTTTGACGCTTGCTTATTATCGGGACCTATGGCCAAAGTACCCAACATCCAAGGTAAGGTTGTCACCAAATACACAATCATCGCAATGTCATGAACATAATGATCATCCGATGAGGTTATATAAACCCATCCACCACAGGAAAAAGCGCGTATTACACCAATAATGGCATGGATTTTAGGATAAGTAAGATTTGGCTTGTCAGTAATAAGATAAAATAAGTATATTAATAGAAAACGCGGTCCTAAAAAGTGTATAAGATCGGTATTAGTGATTAGAAAATTCTTGATAATTCAAAAGGTAAAGAATAATCTGTACCCGCTGCAACCGCTATAAAAATTTGAAAAATTGAACGAGCTGGGTACCAATCTCCAGTAGCTGCACTAACACTTGGAAACCATTCCTATGCGATTTAAAAATATCAAGTATTATTGATGACATATAATAACATCAGAAAGGAACCAACAAAATTAATGTACCTCTGGATACCCCCCGTGTTCATTTTTTACAATTTGATAATAATGCGTCGAGCATCCAGTAACCAATGCCGAGAAAAATGCAACTATCGATAAAAAAATTTCGTCAATTAGTTGATAAATATAAAATCGGAAAGTTTGATACTTACCATAAGCAAAAAGTGTGTGAGAATAAGATATCCACCGGGCGTTAAACTAATGTTTACAAGGTGAGAATGTGAAAAAGTGAGGATAACGCGTGTATATTAAATTTGACTTTTTTTTGTTGCTAGGCAATAAAGAAGTGAGGAATTTACTTACCTTTGCAACAACAATGTCGTCGGGCGAGTCGTTATTTGACGACATTTTTCGGAAAAAAAAAAATATTTTATTAAAACTAAATCAGGTCAATAAATATGAGAACGTGCCGTGTTACAAGTTTTTCCAAATTTGGAGGACATTTTCCCGAGCCGCCTCCATATATGACGATTTGATTATATTTAATCATCTTTAAGTATTAACCTGTTTTATTGAATTTCTAAATATGGTCAAAATGTCAAATTATTCCAAGTGACATCATTGACAATTTAAAACTCAAGACCAAAATATGTGTTCCGGGTGTATGCAATAGAGAAATAATCTTATGTATAATATGGTTAGCATATTTATTATACCTCCGCAGTAATTCTTCCCTAACGGGGCCAAAAAGCCATTTTATATAAAGAAACCCCTATAGTTACACTTTCTTGATCAGAGCGTCCCTAGTACTGATATGGAAAGATGGAAAGTTGATGCTACTCAGCAGTCTGATTTATAGATAAAGGTTTCACTATTTTCTTGTACTAGTAGAGATTGCGTGCCGTCGAGTAGATGCTGAACCTATAAAAAAATATGATCCAATTTAATACGTTGGAAGGAATTATAAATCATGTATTTTCTATCCTCAACTCTCTTAATTTTCTTTAACCTAGATTCTTCATTTCAAAGGACATTCTCTCTCATTTTTCAATTTTGATGTATAACAGTTCTCTTTTTCGGGATCTCTCGATGCAGTGTTACAATTCATCATTTGAAATCTTTTAAAAAAAAAAAAAGGTTAACCATCTTCAAGGATGATAGATTTATCTCTATTAAGGATCATTGCATTCAATCAAAAAACGGTGCATTTATTTGTCAAAAAGTAAAAAGTATATTAAATATTCCATATAACTTTAATTTAAATATGTATATATATATATATATATATATATATATATAGACCCTTTAAAACAAGCCTTTAAAAATTTATCATAAAGGAAATAAGTATTGGTATTCAAATAAATAAAAAAAATTTGTTAAAAAATATATATATATATCAAACGTTCTATGGTTTAGCTCGATATTTTGGACGTTTTTTAGGAGGAGAACTAAATTCCTTAGGTAATGTGTAACCTACACTTCCACTAGAATTTGGATCGTCATTATCTGAATCGTAAACGTTCAATAATTTTCGAAAACTTTCCTGAACTGCTTTCCTCTACATAATACAAAAAGAATTAAATCAACTTATTATTATCGTATGTATATGTTTTACAGAGTAGACTTACTTTTGAATCGTCCCTAGTAAAAATTCGGATAATAGTTTCTTCGTATTGTTCCGGAACTAGATAACTCACTTGTGACTTATCCAAATAGAAAGCTATGAATTATTTAACAAATTAAACAATCAATAAATGATGAAAAAAAAATGATACACGTTAATGTAACTGAAAAAACTACTGACCTTTATCGATTTCATATTGATTGTAAAATTTAACACAATCAACGGGATTCTCATTTTTCTTGGCATAATTCAATTTGATTCGGTCTACGATTACATCATTTTCTCCAAGTTTATCATTGTCTGATTGATGTGCAATGATTTCTCGAGCATTTACTTTTGTCTTTTGCATAAATAAAAGTACTCATTTTACATTTAAGTTCTCAAATTTCTAATGATGATATGTAATAACTTTTTTACCTCGGTCAGGTGATCTTTCAACTTTAGAGGGATTATATATTCATCAACAAATCTATAGAGATCTCTAGTTCGAATTCGCTTGATTAATTTTCGAGATTTTTCCAACCTCTAAAATGATCAAATTAATAAATTTTCATTATCTTTATAACTTACAAATCATTCTAATGACTTACTGGATCTGTCGAAAATTCAATTTGATTTAAGATTGTATCATCCAATTTCAGATATTTTTCTGGATCATCGACAGCTTTTGATATTTCGAGAATTGGATCTGCTTCAGCCATAGCATCACATAACATATATTCTATGGCTTTTCCTAACGTTTTACATAATTTTACTTAAACATTATAACAACAAAAATTTAAAAACAAAGCTGTGATAAAAAAATTATTTACCAACGCGATGATAATAAACCTTTTTGTATAAAGAATACCGCGTTTGAAATAATTCGTAAATACTATAACTCTCCTTAAAATAATACGCAATTTGATCATCGATTACACGCGAAAATCTCATGAGTCTTGAGAAATCGAATACAGATTTCATCCCGAGATAGTAACAATCGCGATTCAAATAATCAAATTTATCGACATCGATCGAGTTCGTATTATTAGCCACTATATCGAATAGATACCGAGATCGACCTGAACTATTGATAGATATTTATTTAATCAATTGATTTATGATAATCATCAGGTAGCAGTAAAATAATTATAAATTTACCAAACATTTCCAGTAATTAAGGATTTAATGAATTTAACATCATCTGTATCTAAATCGATTGTATCTTTACAATGATTTTCCCAAAGATGATCAAACATCATTAGGGAGGCATCTTCATGTCTCCATTTGAAACCTTTCCTTTATGTAAAAAGGGAACATACGAATCAATATTTTAGATTATAAGAGAGTATGATTTGGTTTACTAAATAAATCTTTTTAACAACCTCGCTTTTGGAATAAATGTATTATCAAAGGTGTGACTAAAAGGCCCATGTCCTATAAATGTAACAACAATGTTAGATCAAACGAGAGAACCTTTCAAGAACATGATATTAAACTTACCCAGATCATGACACAAGGCAGCTAATGTCACACATTCTAAATCTTTCTCGACTTTGTAATTAGGTTGCGTAACTTGGATTCTTTTCACCAGCGTGTTAGCAAGATAAGCAGTACCTATTATTCAATTAATGATTTAGGCAAAATTAATTGAAATCATATAATTTTGGCCGAAAGTATCGCCTAAATTTTTTACCTAAACAATGTTCGAACCTATTGTGGCTGGCACCAGGAAACACGTAATAAGTGGTTCCTAATTGTTTGATATTACGTAACCTTTGAAAATGTGGAGTGTCGATAAAACTGAGCGTCCAATCATCGAACTCCATTAATCCCTATTTATTAAAGGTTAACATTTCATAAGAAAGAATGGTTCGCTTTGAAAAAAGAATTTTCTAAAATGAAATTTTTTTATAATATTACATGAATGGGGTCATTAATCCTCTTTGGTAACATTGAATAAGCATCAAAAATTGAAATATCGTTTGCGTTATCATGACTCCTGAAAGACATGATATTTATGCGTTTATATAGAAGGAGGGATTTGAGAGAAAATCTATTGGCTGTTTGATATTTCCGTATTAAAAAACAATGAAATACCAAAGATATCTTTGAGATACAATGATAAAAATCAACTGATCATGAAATGATACCTATTAAATATGCAATTAAAACAAAATTAGCTGAAGCAATCCCTGTTTTTGCTTCTTGTTTTACTTTAAAAGTATTTATTTCCCACGAAATTTTCTGTCACTTAATTGTTCCAACATCTAAATATTAGATAATCTTTGATAAATCCGGTCATGTGGTCGATTCGGGATTCTCGTCATACGTAACTCAAAATTCATTAATTGAGAAAAACGGTGGGTCAACTCCGATAATAAAAACGTTTCTTTTATAGTTTATTAAGGGAAAAAAAAAACATCATGAGGATTTTTCAGCGTTGTGAAGGAAAGTTCATAGCTTCCCATTGATAACAAATAATTCTTTCAAATCATATAATAAAGCAGTGATATTTTTTACTTGTATGAAAACAATTTCTTAGATTTCTTTAGGGATGTTAATTTCCGAGAAGATATTTATTATATTTTCTTTAAAGAATAAATTTAGAACCGGGTCCTAAGGTCCCGGTCCCAACTTATCGGACCCATGAAAATTATTCATAGATAAGCGATTAGACTTCAGAAATTTCTAAATTTATCAAAAAAAGGAATCTTTTTTTTTTTTGAAAATCCGGCTTTAAAGTTATTATCTAAAATGTGGTAAATAGCCTGTAATTTAAATATATATATACTGTATTATTTGCAGCATTCTAAAAATATCAGTAAAGTTAACTTTTCATTTAAATTACAAATAATATCACGGATAAAATTTTACCTATTATTTAAATATTAGGATTTCTTTTTTGTTTCTTTATTAAGAATAATATTATTCAATTAATATAAATTAAAGATTAGATTTACAGATTATCTGTCAAATAAGTCAAATAAAAAAAATGGTATATACCTGGTATTATATTGATCATGTTAAAAATAAAGGTGAATTAACAGAAAAATTTCTCTCATTCCTCTTAATGGAAAAATCCTACTATAAGCAAAATAATTACTTATTTGTATACAAAATATAAAAAATTATCCTTTTACTAATAAATGCTAATGAGTTGATTAATTTTAATCTGATTAATTATTTCTTAGTTTAATATAAATTATTTTATATACAAAATATTACTAAAGTTATTAGAATTATTTTTCTTAAAAAAAAAAAATATCTCTAAAGCCATTTTTCTTTAAAAAAATCATTATCAACTTAAAAAAAAACTTTAAAACTAGTTCACTTAAAAAAAACTACTTATGAAAAGAATTTTTTCAGATTTTAAAAAATTTAAACTAAATAAATAAGCTCATACCATGATTTAACTTATAATACAAATTGGTTTATTACTATTTTTAATGATTCAAATTAATTCTAAACAAGCTGACTTATTTAACTTAATTTATACAAAGCTTCAATACTAATTTATAAATTTATTTTTATAATAATAATAATTAAAATATTTTAATTAAAGTAAATTATTTTAGTAATCTAAATAAAAGTATACATTAGTATTAAAGCTAATTTTTTATTAAAATTAAATTATTATTTAAAAGTAATTAACTTTCTCAAATATTACTAACTTATAAATTATTTTGTTATTTATAGCTTAAATTTTACAATTTAACTAACTAATTAAAATAAAATAACAATATATAAATTGAAAATTATTAATATTATTTTAATGCTATTTTTATATAATATTAAAAAAAAATATTAAAAAAATTTAAATAAAAAAATTACAGAAATTAAACATTAGTTATAATAGATATGCTACAAAATCTTAAAATCTAAAATCTCAAAAAACTAAAATCTTAAAACTCTATATGTCAAAAGTTCAATATTTCAAATTTCAAAATCTTGAAATTTAAATTCTAAATAGTTATAAAATTTACTTTGAATTAGTAAGTCGCAAGTGAATTTTATGTGATATATATATTAATAATTTTGGTAACATCATGCTGTAATATGTATCTTAATCAAAAAACAAACTTAGTTATACATGAAAAATTTTTAACAGACAATTTAGGATTTTTTACCATTCAAAACTTTAGATTTTAAGATTTTGTATTATTTAAAATTTTAGATTTTGAGATTTTGACCTTTTGAGATTTTGGATTTTGAGATTTTGAATAGCGTTTTTCAAAATATAACAAATCAAACATAAAAATGATTTAGCTGAAAATTAAACAAATTCAATAAAAATTCAGAGATTTTATTAACTTTAATAATTTTGATTTAGGTTATTTAGAAAAAAATTTATTTAATTCAGTATTTTTGAATATGTTAATAAGAAAAAAATACTAAATAATATATATATAAAAATAATTATTTAGATAAAATGAATAATAATAATTATTTTTATTATTTTAAGTAATATTATTTATCAGATTTATTATAATATAAATCTAATATTAAATTAATATTTATTCATTAAAAATAAATCATACATATTAAATTTTATATACAAATATATAAAATATAATAAAATAATAAATTATTATAATAATATATAATATAAATATATTAAAGAACTTTTTTAAGTAAAATTAGTATATTTAGAATACTTAATAATTTTAGCAATTAAAGTAAAAATATTTTCATAATTACTTTTAAATTTCAATTGAGTTATAATTTAATTATACTATAAATAAATTTAATTGTATTATAAATATAACTTAATTGTGT